TTGACCTTCCCCCGGCCTCCCCCCACCCCCCATTCTTGATTCTTTTAAAATAATGTATTTGAGTATTCAGGTTTTTGGGTCAACATGTTTACATATGTGTATTTATATGTGAAATTAGACCTTAATCAGAACAAGACAATTAACCTTCCCCCGGCCTCCCCCCACCCCCCATTCTTGATTCTTTTTGCAAAATGTATTTGAGTATTCAGGTTTTTGGGTCAACATGTTTACATATGTGTATTTATATGTGAAATTAGACCTTAATCAGAAAAGCAAGACAATTTGAACTAGAGGGAGAGAGAGGGGGAGGGAGGAAATTAATTAGTATACATGTACCATAGTGAGATTTCAGGAAAATGACAGGTAGTAAGTAGATTTGTGTGGGTAAATTTGTTAGCTGTGCTAAATGGACTTTTGTAGGCAGGGAAGTAAAAAAAAAATCTTAATGGCCTACTTTGTTTAAAAATATTCAATACTTAAAAATCGAGATGAAAGTTAACTTCCTGTAGAACAGTGTAGTAGAGCAAATGAGAAGCATGACACACAAGATCATGTTGAATTATGTGACAGTTTTCTGTAATTTTGAGCAAGAAAATGTACCTCAGATTCGTTATTCCAATAGAGTACAACAGAGGGGCTAAATTTGGTGATCCTTCCTAGTGCTGAAATTTTATGGTTTTAATTTTTTTTAGTTTAGCAGTTTCTTGATGACTTTGATTGTTGGAAAGTCAAGATACTTTCTTATTGTCTGTACTTGTTCAGCTTCAAGAATTAAAACATGGGGGAGGCCCCAGCCGGTAGCTCTGTTAGAGCATGTTTTCATACACCAAAGGCCAAAGTTACAGGTTCAATCCCCGGTCAGGGCACGTACAAGAATCAACCAGTGAATGCGTGGATATGTGGAACAGCAAATGGATGTCTCTCTCTCCTCCTTTCCTCTCTCCCTTGCTCTCTCTCTCAAAGTCAATCAAATACATTTTTTAAGGGAGGAATAAGGCTTTACTTTCTCTGATATTTTCTGACTAGGTACTTTGTAACTCAGGAAGACCTCATTTATTCCCAGTAATATGTTTTACTAAACTCTTTCAGGTAACTTTAAAAAGACTGTGACTTAATAGTAGATTATGGCTTGAACTCAGTTTTTGTTTATTGTTGTTATTAGAAAGTTTTAGTGAGGTATTTTTCTTTGTCTCTATAGTTATCAGAGACTATTGCAGACGATTGCTGTACTCGAGGCTCAACGTTCTCAAGCAGTCCAGGATCTTGAAAGTTTAAGCAGACACCAGAAAGAAGCACTAAAAAATCCCATTGGATTTGTGGAGAAACTCCAGAAGAAGGTATATATTGAGCACTTTTTAAGATTTATTTGGTAAAAGCTTGTGTTTTTTATACGGTATATACTTTAAAAATGTTTAATTATTTCTCTTTCTGTAATTAACCATACTAGAAGGCAGGACATTGCCTTTCTGAAAATAGCTAGGAACTTTATTTGGATGTTCATATAGGAACTTGTTGTCCTGTACCCTAGCCAGTTTTATAATCTTTTCCTGTTACTTTCCCCATTTTAGAGTGTTTTCCGTCTTCTGCTTTCCTGATTTCAGGATTAGCTAAAAAAAAACACAACAACACCACCAAAAAAACCAAAACACTAAAAAACCTTCAGGATTTATTAATGCCTTTAGTTTCAGTTTACTTTTGTAACTCAAGATAGTGAGATAGAAAACAATGGTGATAAAAACAAAAACTCTCTTTTAAATGTCTTTAATATTATGATTGCCAAGTCAGTGAAGTAGAGGTATAAATTTTACTTAATTTTGAAGTGTCCTTTATTTTAGTATAGAATTTTTTATAATTTTCTGTTTTCCTTAAAACTGAACTTTCGTATTTAACAGTTAACCATATGAAAGTGATTCAAATTTTTATAATAACCTTTTAATTTTTATTTTATTATTATTTTAATCCTTATCTGAGGATAGTTTTTCTGTTGAATTTTAGAGAGGGTGGAAGTGGGTGGGGAGAAACATTGAAGTGAGAGAGACACATCAATTGGTTGCCCCTGAGCAGGTCCTGGGGATTGAACCTGCAATCCAGGTACTGCCTTTGACTGGAAATCGAACCCATGATGCTTTGGTGTGTGGATCAACACTCTAACTACTGAGCAACACTGACCAGGGCTATAATATAAAAATGTGGAGATAATCTAGATGTGCGTTTATGACATAGTATGTGTCCTAAATTAGGGATCAGTAATTGTTCAATAATATTAATTAGCATTGTGTGACAAGATTAAAACTGAAAAACTATCAAAAAGAATCTGCTTCTTCACCTTAAACAAAAACCTAGCTTGTGTAGGTATAGTATGACAATATTTTTTTATGTTTTCCAAAGTTTTGAACTACTCTTGGTTTAAATATATTGCTTTATTGATTTCAGAGAGGAAAGGAGAGGGGGAGAAAGATAGAAACATCAATGATGAAAGAGAATAATTGATTGGCTGCCTCCTGCACGCCCTCTACTGGGGATCAAGCCTGCAACCTGGGCATGTGCCCTTGGCCAGAATCGAACCTGCGACCCTTAAGTCTGCCGGCCGATGCTCTATCCACTGAGCCAAACGAGTATGACAATTTTAGTGTAGTTATTAGTTCCCCGTTTTTAATGAATCACAAAAGTGATCTACCAAGTATTAAGGGAATGGCCCTGAGGACATTGTTTCATTTAGATGTATTAATTTATTATTTTGATTTTTCCAGCTATATTTACTTGACAAACATTTCTTTATGTGCTTTAAGAACACTGAATATCTTAATGGATATGGAATCTATATATTGATTTGTTAAAACTTTTAAATTTTCTAGAACCCTATTGCATCTTCCCTGTTATAGCGTGTCCACTTAGATGTTTATTGATTCTGCACTTAAACAACTAGAGGCCCGGTACAATCCGTGCACCAGTGGCTCCCTCGGCCTGGCCTGCGGGGATTGGGCCGAAACCAGCTCCCCAACATCCCCTGAGGGATCCCAGATTGCGAGAGGGCGCAGGCCAGGCCGAAGGACCCCACCAGTGCACCATCAGGGCCAGGGAGGGATTGCGGGAGGGCTCCAGGGCGTATCTGGCCCTTCTCTCCCAGTCCCAATCAGCCAGATCCCAGCAGCAAGCTAACCTACTGGTTGGAGCGTCTGCCCTCTGGTGGTCAGTGCACGTCATAGGAACTGGTTGAACGGTCGAAGGAATGGTAGGACTCTTAGCATAATTATTAAGCTTTTATTATATAGGATTTGCTGTTGCAAGAAGATATAGTACTTACAACGATTACTTAAAATGGATCCAGCTAAAATAGATGGTGTTGTAAATATTGATAAAACATTTGTTAACCTTAATTTTATTTTATTCATGTTTCCAGGTGGACAGAACATAGAGTTAGGCACATTTATTAAAGTTGTATGCAGCTGGGTATTTGCTGGTTCTCCATTTTCAGGTTTAGTTTAGAACTGAATTTCTTTTCATTTTATCTCAGAAACAGGTGTGATATAGACCAATTTTAATGTACAGGTGTATAGTAAATCCAGATACTATAATAATCATGAAAAATGTATGTTCCTTGGAGAGAAATGTTTATATTGGATTTACTTTAGGTGTTTGACTTTTGTTTTTCTGTGTTTACTCATGTATACTTAATTTGCCTATTCTCTTTAGGTTTACCACATTAAGCTGTTGACATGTGATCTGTTTGTTTTAGTGGACATCTAGAAACTCCTCATTGAAATTAGGAAATTTGTGGTATATATTAATATAGAATGCAGGGAACATTTATGGCTGTTAGCTTTCTTTAATATTACCATTATTACTTTAAAAGATGCTCTAATTTTGCAAAAAGTTGAATCTTAGACTTATAGGTACATTTATGACAATGTAATATGTCATAAGCAAAATAAAAATTAAGAATTCTGTGTCACAAAGTGGATTTTGCCCTTCCAGTTTTATAATTTATGACCTGATTGTTTTCCTCATCGTTTTAAACGTTGAAGGTATTGTATAAGTAACACACTCATATCCAATTATCATTTTACTACTTTTGCTTTATCACATATCTATCAGTCTTCAATCCATCATTCCATCTTATTATAAGATAGAATGCTTTTGATGCATTTCAAAGTTGCAGACATATAGTAACTTACCAAAACACTTCAAATGCATATTATTAACTAGAATTCTTAGACTTTTTTAAAGGTGAATTTTTCATACAATGAAATTTAAAATTTCCTAATTGTAGCATTCTATGAGTTCAACAAATTCATCCACCTATGTTTGTCCCAAACCCCTTAAAAGACATCATAGTCACCTGATTATAGTAATTATAACAACAAATGACTTCTCGAAAGGTGGTTGGTAAAGTAACTGAATTTCAAGTAAATTAAAGGTATAATTTTGATTCTCAAGATATCATAATTTTCTTATATGTTGTAAGAGTATATATTGTGAAAATAATTCATTGTTTTATGGATAAGTGGTGAACATGGACTGCATTTAAAATAAACAACTTATTTTTGCTTTGCTGTTTATGTTTAAAGTCTGTTAGTGATAATGTACAATATGTCTATACAGTTCAGCTTTAGAGCTCTAAAAATAGTGCTTATGTTTTGTTAAATTGATTCGTCCTTTCCTTGTTATCATCTTTACCATTCAATGTTTAGACTGCATTATCTTAACTTCATTGTCTATTGGATTTCAACAGTGACTGGAAATGTCCAGTTGATGATTATTTGGATTTGGTGTCATCTGAAGTTTGGCTATAGTTGATAATTTCTTGAATTAAATTTAGACTGTTTTATTTTATTTTTTTCCAGGCTGATATAGGGCTTCCATATCCACAGAGAGTTGTTCAATTGCCCGAGATTGTATGGGACCAATATACCAATAGTCTTGGGAACTTTGAAAGAGAATTTAAAAATCGTAAAAGACATACTAGGAGAGTTAAGCTAGTTTTTGATAAAGGTAAGAAATGACATGATAAGATTTTGAGTAGAGAAATACCTGGCAAATTCTTGCTTTAATAATCCTATACATGGTCTTTTATTTAGTAGGTTTACCTGCTAGACCAAAAAGTCCTTCAGATCCTAAGAAGGATGGAGAGTCCCTTTCATACTCTATGTTGCCTTTGAGTGATGGCCCAGAAGGCTCAAGCAGTCGTCCTCAAGTAAGCAGTACACAGTATTGGAGTAGGAAAATTTGAATTGTAGACAAAATATTCTGACATTTTGCTGATTTGTATTCTAAAAATTCAAGCAGTCTTTTCACTGAAGATAGCAGAGACATGAACTTGAAGTTAAGAGAAACCTGGATTGCATACCCAGCTCTAACACTTACTAGCTGTGGGACTTCAGATGTCATTTATTAAGGTCTCCAAGCTGCAGTTTCCATTTATATAAAACATTATTAATACTGCCTATGTTCTAGAGTTGTTGTGAGGATTAAATGAGTAATATGTGTAATATTACATTATATATGTTTAAAAAATAAATTTACTAAAACATTTAGAATTAATAAAAAAGTTCCATAATTTGTTATTTGGCTATATCAGAGGGTGGTCTTTGTTATTTTCTGCTTGACAAAGGCCTTGTTTTATATGCAGATGATAAGAGGACGTCTGTGTGATGACACCAAACCTGAAACCTTTAACCAGTTGTGGACTGTTGAAGAACAGGTAATAGATATTTCTAAATTGTGTAGGTTAAAAAGAGTTAAACTTAGATATGAATAAAGTGTTTATTATTGTTTATAATCTCTCTTCACCATGAATTTAACATATTTAAACTTATTTCTGTATACTTTTCTGCAATCTTCAAGAATTTTGGATTTTGAGAAAATATGAAATTCTGTTTGGGGATGATTTTTAAAGAAGGAACCTGGGTTTGGGGAGGAAGAGTGAAAAAGGTAGTGAAATGAATGGAATAAAGCTTTTGTAGTGCAGTTTTGGGAGAGAAAAACTTGGGGCCAAGTCAAGTGTGCCTCTGAGCTCTTGTTTTGTTGTGGAGGGGAGCTGACGAAGCCAGTCAGAGGGTTCTGTTTCATTTTGGCATGCAGCTAGGACTGTTTGTGGGTAAGGTTGGAGACACATTTCTGTCTCATAGGAGGATTAACTTCACAGTTTATTAAAAGCTTAAGAATCTTGACTTCAAGCATTGAGATTATTCTGCATCTTTATTATTTATTACTATGGGAGAACTTAGGAATAGGTCAGAATATTAAAATCAAATCTTTGAATGGAGGACCGCACAAAGGAAGGAAAGTCTCTTTTTCTGTCCAAATCCAAATGAATTTATATGTTTTTGTCAAATGTATAAGGGTGAACCTAAACGTAGTCTACAAGAAAAGATGGTCAATGGAAATCACCAAGATGTGTAAAATATCAATTAATTAATTTTTGCATGCTATCTTTTTACTGAAGTGAATAGAAAATCTTTATAAGGGCTTCAATAGGTTTATTCTCTAATTTCATTTTCCCTGTGAATTCTTTAAGTTGCTTTATGGGAACTTTTTCTTACCATGATGATTTCTAGTGCCTAACCCCCAAAGTTGAGGAGGGAATATTATAATTTAAAATGAAAATGTGGATGTATTTATGTAGAAGTTCAGTATTAAACTTTCTTAAATGTGATCTTGGATTTGGCTTAGAAAAAGCTTGAACAGCTACTCCTGAAATACCCTCCTGAAGAAGTGGAATCTCGACGCTGGCAGAAGATAGCAGATGAGCTGGGCAATAGGACAGCAAAACAGGTAATTGAGGAGACAGTCCCATATTGTTGGTATGTTTTTGATAGTTTATTTTATGAAGGATAGTGTCACTGACATCAGCAGACTGCAGCATCATTTTAGCTACAGAGTACAATGATATGTAGGGTTTTAAAATTAGCATTGTACATTTTTGTGTTGCTTTCAGAGAAAACTTGTGATAATACTAAAAAGTAAAAAATGTAATGGACTTAGTGTTTGTTGCATGCTTGATGATGCACCAGTGATATACTTTAAAAAAAATTCTTTATTGATTAAAGTATTACATATGTCTCTTTTTTCCCCTTTTGACCTCTCCCCGACCACTCCAATGCCCCAGCACATGCCCTCACCCCCCTAGTGTCTGTGTTCATTGGTTATGCTTATATGCATGCATACAAGTCCTTTGGTTAATCTCTTAACCTCCTCCCCTGCCTTCCTTCTGAGGTTTGACAGTCTGTTCGATGCTTCTCTGTCTCTGGATCTATTTTTGTTTATCAGTTTATGTTGTTCATTATATTCCACAAATGAGTGAGATCATGTGATACTTATCTTTCTCTGACTGGCTTATTTCACTTAGCATAATGCTCTCCATGTCCATCCATGCTGTTGCGAATGGTAAGACTTCCATCTTTTTTACAGCAGTGTGGTATTCCATTGTGTAGATGTACCACAGTTTTTTAATCCACTCATCTGCTGATGGGCACTTAGGCTGTTTCCAAATCTTAGCTATTGTAAGTTGTGCTGCTATGAACATAGGGGTGCATATATCTTTTCTGATTGTTGTTTCTGATTTCTTGGGATATATTCCTAGAAGTGGGATTACTGGGTCAAATGGGAGTTCCATTTTTAATTTTTTGAGGAAACTCCGTACTGTCTTCCACCGAGGCTGCACCAGTCTGCATTCCCACCAACAGTGTACGAGAGTTCCTTTTTCTCCGCATCCTCTCCAGCACTTGTCATTTGTTGATTTGTTGATGATAGCCATTCTGACAGGTGTGAGATGGTACCTCATTATTGTTTTGATTTGCATCTCTCAGATGATTAGTGACATGTTTTCATATGTCTCTTGGCTTTCTGAATGTCCTCTTTCAAAAGGTGTCTATTTAGGTCCTTTGCCCATTTTTTTGATTGGATTGATTATCTTCCTTTTGTTAAGTTGTATGAGTTCCTTTGTAAATGTTGGAGATTAAACCCTTATTGAAGATAACTGTCAGCATTTTGGAAAACCCTAACTTAACTCTGGTGCCGTGTCACATATAGAAATTTTTTGATATTTGCAACCATAGTAAAACAAAGACTTATATTTTTGATATTTATTTTATATATTTAAATGCCATTTAACAAAGAAAAATCAACCAAAAAAATGAGTTCGCGTGTCACCTCTGACACGCGTGTCATAGGCTCGCCATCACTGTCCTAGGAGCTGTATTGATAAAGATATTGCTATGATATATGTCTGCTATTTTGCTGCCTATAGATTCCTCTTAAGATTTTTATGGTTTCCCATCGTATGTTTAAGTCCTTTATACATTTTGAGTTTATTTTTGTGTATGGTGTAAGCTGGTGGTCTAATTTCATATTTTTGCATATATCTGTCCAATTTTCCCAGCACCATTTATTGAAGAGACTGTCTTGATTCCATTGTATGCTGTTGCCTCCACTGTCAAATATTAATTGAGCATAATTGCTTGGGTCGATTTCTGGGTTCTCTGTTTGGTTCCATTGGTCTATATGTCTGTTCTTGTGCCAGTTCAGGCAATTTGGAGAACAGTGGCTTTGTAATACAGCTTGATGTCTGGTATTGAGATCCCTCCTACTTTGTTCTTTCTCAGGAATGCTGGAGCTATTCAGGGTCTTTTTCATTCCATATGAATTTTTGGAGAGTTTGTTCTAGGTCTGTGAAATATGCCATTGGTATTTTAATGGGGATTGCATTGAATCTATAGATTGCTTTGTATAATATGGACATTTTAATGATGTTGATTCTACCAATCCATGAACACGGCATAGACTTCCATTTGTTTATGTCTTCCTCTATCTCTTTTTTCAATGTCCTGTAGTTTTCTGAGTACAGGTTTTTACCTCCTTAGTTAAGTGTATTCCTAGGTATCTTAATTTTTTTGTTGCAATGGTAGATGGGATTTTTTTTTTTAATTTCTCTTTCTGTAATTCATTATTGGTGTATAAAAAAGTGATAGATTTGTGGGTGTTAATTTTTTATCCTGCTAAATTGCTGAATTCATTTATTAAGTCTAGTAGTTTCTTGGTGGAGTCTTTAGGGTTTTCTATGTACAATATCATGTCATCTGCGAATAATGACAGTTTTACTTCTTTTCCAATTTGGACGCCTTTTATTTTTTTCTTCTTGTCTAGTTGCTATGGCTAGCACTTTCAGTACTATGTTGAACAGGAGTGGTAAGAGTTGGTATCCCTGTCTTGTTCCTGTTCTTAGGTGAAATGGTTTTAGTTTTTACACATTGAGTATGATGTTGGCTATAGGTTTGTCATGTAAGGTTATTATTATGTTGAGGTGTTATCCTCTATCTCTTTGCTGAGGGTTTTTGTCAAGAAAGGGTGTTGAATATTGTAAAATGCTTTTTCTGCATCAATTGATATGATTATGATTTTTATCTTTCAATATTTTTATGTGGTGTATCACGTTTATTGATTTGTGGATATTGTTCCATCTTTGCTTCCCCAGAATAAATCCCATTTTGTCATGGTGTATGATCTTTCTGTAATGCTGGATCTGATTTGCTAGAATTTTGTTGAGGATTTTAGCATCTATGTTCATCAGGGAGTTGGCCTGTAATTCTTTCTTTGTAGTGTCTTTATCTGGTTTTGGGATTAGGGTAATGCTGGCTTC